AAAAAAAAAAAAAAAGAGAGAAAGAGAGGGAGAGATGAGAAGAGAAAATAGAGCATTGTTAACAAAAAGGCTCGGTCATTTGTGCATTTGATCATTTGTTATCTTGGGAAAAATGTGTTTGCTGGTTCAGGGCCAGAACTGCCTGATTGGAATCCAAGTCAGTTAAGAAATAACTACTATTGCTGCATTTTTTTTCTGAAAGGTCCTTTCAGGTAATCTCTGAATTTACCTGATGTCTTAGTCTGCTCAGGCTGCTGAAATAGAATACCATGGACTGGGTGGCTTAAACAGACATTTCTCACATTTCTGGAGACTAGAAGTCTGAGAACAGGAGGCCAGCATAGTCAGGTTCTTTGGCGAGTGTCCTGATTCACCCAGAAGGGGCTCCCGTTTTCTTGCCCTATTCTCACTTGGGGAAAGAGGTGGAGACAGACAGAAGGAGAGATTTCCTGTCTCCTCCTTTTATAAGTGCATTAATTCCATCACAAGGGCCCCGCCCTCATGACCTCATCTAACCCTAATTACCTCCCAAAGGCCCCACCTCCTAGTAGCATCACATTGGGGATTGAGGGTTCTAACATAGGAATTTTGGTCGGGATTGGGGGGATAGAAACCTTCAGTCCTTGGCAGCTAGGTTTTAAGAATTAACAGTTCTAGCTTCTGTAAATACCTTGGCAGAAAGGGGTGGGTTGTTTTTCTTTTAATGTTTACTTATCTTTGAGAGAGGGAGAGAGAGCGTGAGCAGGAAGGGAGCAGAGAGAGGGAGAGACAGGATCTGAAGCCAGTTCTGTGCTGACAGCAGTGAGCCTGATGCCAGGCTCAAACTCACAAACCATGAGATCATGACCTGAGCCAAAGCTGGATGCTCAACCGACTGAGCCACCCAGGTGCCCCGAAAGGGGTGTGTTTATAACAGGTACCTGATTAAAAAATTCTGGCTGGCTCAGTCAGTAGAATATGCGACTCTTGATCTCAAGGTCATGAGTTGGAGCCCCGCATTGGGCATGGAGATTACTTTTTAAAAAATGAAAATAAATGGTTGTTTTAAAAAAGAAACAAAAAAATGTTGTTTAAAAAAATTCAGAAAGTTATTTATGGGTTATATAGCATAACTATATATGGATTATATATAGATTTCCCTTCTGAAATCATCCTGAAGATTGCTTAATAGGTAACACAGATATTCCTTTAGGAATACTAATGATCTTTGTCTCCTTTCCTTTGGAATCCAAACCTCCATGGGGCGCCTTGGTGGCTCAGTCACTTGGGTGGCCAACTTTGGCTTAGGTCATGATGTCGTGGTTCACGAGTTTGGGCCCCACGTTGGGCTCTGTGCCCTGGAGCCTGCTTCAGATTCTGTGTCTCCCTGTCTCTCTCCCCCTCCCCCGCTCGCACTTAGTCCCTCTCTTTCTCTCTCTCTCAAAAAAAAATCAAATAAATAAATAAGCATTAAAAACAATTTTTTTAATTAAAAAAAATAGTAACCTCCTAAGCATATAAATTCTCAAATTTGGTAAAGATAGTTAATCAACTAACCAAATTAAGAGAAAACACATCAGAGAAAGTCTTTCCCAGTTATTTCCCCCTCTAGAATTTTTTAAAAGTTTATTTATTTCAGTTATGTCCACACCCAATGTGGGGTTCAAACTCACAATCCTGAGGTCAAGAGTCGCATGCTCTCCCAACTGAGCCAGCCAGGCGCCCCTCTCCTCTAGAATTCTAATATGTACCTTATAACGAGCAGGTTAGATTTTTCTAAAATTTTTTAACGTTTAGTGGACTCGCCTCCTTTTGGCAGCGGTAGGGGTAAGGAGTGGAGGAGGGGTGATGTTTAAATTTGTAGATACTCATCCGGGTTCTCATGCCTTTGTACCTAGTGTGAGCTCTGCCTAGAATGCCATCTGTCATCAGATTTGTCTGTCTTTCAAGACTATGTTCAAATGTTACTGAACCAGAAAGGCATACGTGCCATACGTTTTGTTCCCCAGCATTTCAGATGTATGATAACACTGCAAATGTAGTGAAGTGAGTAGTGTGTGTTGCTCTCCTCTACTAGCTTATGAGCTGCTGAGGACAAGACCTAAATCTGTATCTTAATAATCAGGGGCGCCTGGGTGGCGCAGTCGGTTAAGCGTCCGACTTCAGCCAGGTCACGATCTCGCAGTCCGTGAGTTCGAGCCCTGCGTCGGGCTCTGGGCGGATGGCTCAGAGCCTGGAGCCTGTTTCCGATTCTGTGTCTCCCTCTCTCTCTGCCCCTCCCCCGTTCATGCTCTGTCTCTCTCTGTCCCAAAAATAAATAAAAACGTTGAAAAAAAAATTAAAAAAAAAAAATACTCATTTAAAAAAAAAATAAAATAATTAGAGAAGTGGATTTTGGCTTTTTAGTATTCACAGAACCCTACCCAAAACAAAAAATGTTAGTGGCGTACTGTAAGCGAATCCAAGCCTCAAAACCGCACTCCGTTCAGCTATAATTACAAGGCAGTCACCTCCTCATTGTGATTTTTCATAGTGCCAGTAAAATCATGCAGTGGTAGCTCTTCAGCAACATGAATTGTCTCTTACATATCCTAGTTTCCAGAAAACGTATTTATTATTAACAGGAGAGAAACATGGTAAGGCCAGGAGACCATCAGATTCTCAGCATTTTTATTTGCAGCTGAAGTTCTTTATTTTCAGGGCTCCAGCATGGAAGACAGTGACTTGAAATTTGGCACAAATTTCCCAAAGTGGCCATTTTCCCAGAGCACTGTTTTGTGTAGTCCGCTTCTTTGCCTGCGTGGCACCTAAGGCTGGCACCCTGTGAGCGGTGCATGGGTTTTGTGAGATGACCTCATGTATAGAACTACTAATGGGCTTGTTTGTTTTTTAAACATTCTAAGGTAAGATAAAGGACACGCAATTTTTTCTTTTTATTATTAAGTTCTCTGATTTGCCTGAAGAAGGGACATATTTTATCAAGGTTAGGATGCCATCAATTATGAGATGCATTTCAATTTCTTAAGTGTTAGGTCTTTAAAAGCTCTGGAAGTAATGTCTACTGCTCTTAAAAAACTATTTGTTGTCAAATTTCTGTCTAGCGTCCTTTACATATTTACTTCCTTGAGAAGGGGCAAAACACTACTGAATTTCCAGTAACTTTTTGTTTTTCCCTACTAGTTGCTTTTCGACTATATGATTTGGATAAAGATGACAAGATTTCCCGTGATGAGCTATTACAGGTAGGTGGGAGAGCTGCCATGCATGCGAACAACTGTTGGGGCCTCTGCCTGCTTACTCTTTTGGGCAGGAATTGTTCTTTATTTCAGTAAGCATTTATTTGCCACCTGCTGGTGCAGAATCCTGTCCTAACTATAAGTCAGAGCCAGATGACCTAGGGAAACTTGAAATGGCTCATTGAGTTCTCAAAGACAGATGTCTCTGCTATTTAAAAGCTAACTAAATGTCTTTTGGGTGCTGACCAGCAGAGCTAAACTATGCGAGATGGTCTAAGTCAGATAGTTGAGTTATTGTCACGTCAGCTTATTGACATCCAGGTAATTCTGATGACACTTGGGTAAATGCTGCTGTCTCATCTGTCCTTGGCCTTGACATAACAGTCAAGGAGCTTTTGCTGGGCCAGTGTACACTGAGCCACCTGCTCACTGTCTTTTGTTGCTTCTGAAGACAATTCCCTGTCTTTGCACTAGCAGTGACTACTAGCATTTCATCCTCTTAGCATTGCCTTCCCCTTCCCCTCCCCGCCTTCCTTAAATACACAGTTAGAGGGAAGAAAGTTCTCCTTTTCTCTTTTCTTTAATACTTACGAATCTGGAGGACCCTAGGAGGCTAACACATTCAGGAATTTCCATGAGGAGATTTCTCTATTTCTAGATACACCTAAAAAGTAAAGTGGTTTCCACTCACCCTGAAGTAAATGTGAACTCACTCAGTGTCCTGAGAAGTCTTCTAAGCTGAAGATTACTCAGGCCAAATTAAGGACCAACCCAAGGTATTTCTATATTTCTATGTCTGAGCACAAAATTCAAAACAGTCTGCAGGTCAATGTTAACGTTCTTTGCTTTTGAGTTGGGGATATCATTCTTCAATGAGAAGAGTTTATTTAAAATTGCTATATATGGGCTTCTGAGTTCTGAGGAGAAAAGGCAGAGGCAGTTGCTCTATAGTTGAATGTTTTCATCCTGTGGCCCAGATCTGGTTGCCAGAAAGATTTTTTGGAGTGGTGGGTTGATTTATTTTCTATTACTAGGATTTTAAAAAAGCCAGAGTGGGGAGATCATATGGCCAGAATGCCAGTCAGTGCCACCAGAGTGTTCCTCAGGGCCAAACTGACTTGAGGACAAATGTGTTCATGAGCTGTCGAGATGACAGAGAACTAGTTTTACCCTAGCAGGAAGAGGATATGAACATGTTACCAAAGTGAGAAGAAAACAAATTTCATCTTCCTGGACACTTCCATGTCCAAAATATTTGGTGATATGCAATTCTTAACTATTCATTCAGTGGATATTTAAAAGTTTGTGGTGAGTTTCTCCTAGGGGAAGACTGAGTGGTTGTTTTCTAGTATGATTTTTATAAAAAGTCCTGGTTGAACTCTTGGAGATGACAGATATGTTCATTATCTTGATCGTGGTGATGGTTTTACGTGTGTCTACATATGTCAAAACTTAACAGATTGCACATTTTAAATATGTATAGTTTATTGTATACCAATTATACTGCAATAAAGATAGTTGCTCTACTCATTTTATGAGGCTAGCATAACTTTGATGTGAAAACCTTATAAAAACTGCATAAGAAAATTACAGGGATACCTGAGTGGCTCAGTCAGTTGAGTATCTGACTCTCGATTTCAGCTCAGGTCATGATCTCATGGTTCAGGAGTTGGAGCCCCATGTCAGGCTCTGTGCTGACAGGGCGGAGCCTGCTTGGGATTCTCTTGTTCTCTGTCTCTCTCTGCCCTTCCCTCCCTCTCTCTCGCTGTCTCTCTCTCAAAATAAATAAACAAACTTTAAAAAAAGAAAAGAAAATTACAGCACAATCCCTTTCATTCACATAGATGTAAAAATCCTAAACAAAATATTGGCAGATTAAATCCAGCAGTGTATAAAAAGGATATTGGATTCTGGCCAAGGTGGGTCTATATCAGGAATTCAAAGTTAGTTTAAAATTAGAAAATTAAAAGGGGTGCCTGCGTGTCTCAGTCTGTTAAACATCTGACTTTGGCTCAGGTCATTATCTCTCAGTTTGTGAGTTCGGGCCCCACATTGGGCTCTGTGCTGAGCGATCAGAGCCTGGAGCCTGCTTCAGATTCTGTGTCTCCCTCTCTCTCTGCCCCTCCCCTGCTCACTCTCTGTCTCTTTTTCTCTCTCTTTCAAAAATAAACATTAAAAACATTTTTTTAATTAGAAAATT